GCAACAGAATGTTAATTCATGTCTTACCAAAACTCATCCATGAATGTAATAAAGCATTATCAATTAATGTATATAAATCTTTAATAACAAATGATTCTGTTCGATTAACAATATAATGTAAATATACATAAAAACAAAAAAGAAAATATTTAACTTTTAATTATTAAAATTCTATTTACTGCATTCAATGGTTCAATAGTTAATATTTGTGAATAAAATAATGGTGTTTCTTCAGTAAATTGTCGATGAATATTTGTTATTTGTTTAGCAATTGGAATAATAATAAATTGTGTATGAATTTGTTGTGTACGATGAAATAATTCACGTAGAGCTATATCGATATAAAAATAAAATTATTTAAAAAAAAGAAATCTTTTTAACTTACAAAGAGATAATTTTTGTGTAGCTAAAATAATATTTGCATCTGTAATTGTTGTTTGATTAGAAAAAAGATCATCAAAATGATCAAGAATTAATATTGATGGTTGACGAAATACTAATTCATCAATTATTTGAGAAATTGATGTTATAATATTATCAAGTTTTCTTCCTAATTGAAAAATAAAAGAAATAAGAAAAGAAAAAAAATTTGCTTCTAACCTTTAAAACTTAAACAATCAACAAATTTATAATAGATTAAATATTTATTCCATAATCTTTGACAACATTCTCCAATAATTGTTTTCTTTCCACTACCACTTCGACCTGTAATTATTACATTTTTTAATAAATAATTATTCCATGAAGATGTTTTTAGATCAATTTGTAATTGTAATTCAAGAATTTGTAAAAGACGATCAATATTATTTGTTAATGCTCTATAAAGAAAGAGAATTATGACATAAAATTGAAAGATAGGCCAAAAATGAATCGAACTAAATGTACATGAAGTTTTCAAGTTCATAAAAGATTCTAAGATCTTTAATGTTTGCAAAAATATTGAACATCTCGAAAGCAAAGAGTTTTATATAAAAATATAGAGAATTTAGTTCTATATTTATTCAAGCTTTATTGAGGAGTTGAAAATATTCTTCATGATGAATGAAGTTTTTGTTCTTTTGAGTTTTGCAAAGTCCTTATATAGACACCAAAAAGAAAATGCAGAATTTCGTTCTCTGCAAGATAGTGTCCTTCACTAGATTGAATAAATACTAAATACAAACTTTGCATCAAGACTAAGATCGTTTTCTAATAATTCGGGTTCGATAGAGAAATGTTTTAGCTTTCGAATGGCGTAGTTTGGTGTACTCGGATCGGACATGTTTTCCCAATGGAATAAAAGAAATAATATTATTTGGGGGGTGTGGGTGTGGGTGTGGGGTGTGTGTCTTGTTTTTATCTACACCCACACCCTCACACGCACACCCACACCACACACCCACACCCACACACCCCCCCACACCCCCACCCAACCCCCCCCCCACCCCCCCCCCCACCCCCACCCCCCCCCCATTGAACCAATACAAGGAATTAAAAAAAATTATTAA